TGACAGAGCTGAAAAATAAAAGAAAAATATTAAAACATAGCTATTAGGAAATGTGTATGTGTATACATGAAGGAGATGCACTACATCACCAGGTGATTAAGTTTCTCTAGAATGGAAGACTTTACAAGTTTTATACAGTAATTTAAAATGAAAAGAGTGAAAAGAAGGAGAAGCTTATGTCCAGTCTTTTATAGTCCTTAAACAGGGCCAACTAACAGCTGTTTTGGCAGATTTATTGGAGGGTAATCCCCACAATTTCAGAACTCTTCTTTAAAGAAAATAAATAAGTAATTTCCTTATAAAAACGTTTGTAGATTTATAGATAAAAATCTATGAGAAAATTTATGCTGTAGGATCTGCTAAATTTTTAAAGTCTCATTTATACTTTACTTTAGTGATTATTTCTCTTTTACTGACCATTTTGCCTTTTCAGGAAACACCTTCTTCAGTTGACAGGCAATGATTTTACTTGAAAATATCAAAGTATTCTCTGTGCATTTTTTTTTTTTACATGATGTTACGACTACAAAATGACAGACGCATTCAATTTCTGCTTGCGTATATTTTTGAAGTGTTTCTCATCATTTACAAACCAGTGTAATTGGGCAAAAGTGGCTTCATCAAGAGCTGCATCACATGGGATGTACAAAATGGGAAACATGATACGGAATAATTTTGAAAGTTGAAACTAGCTTTTCTCTCTCATTAATGATGGTTCTCTGGACTTCAGAAAGAAGACTGGATGTTTTGCCAAATACTTCAGGTTGTTGACTCTCAAAAAAAAAAAAAAAAAAAATGACTCAAATTCTGTATTATGAAGTCTCTTTCATCCTTGATTGCTGATCTGCAGACAAAATGACTCCATTAAATAAGAAGGACTGATAAAATTAGAAGGATAAAACAATCCTAACTTGAATGCAACAAGACTGGAGAGTGAGATGATTTGTGTAAAAATCTTTCATACTCATCCTCTACATTTACCTTTACTCTGAAGTAATGAGATATTGTTGTACCTCATGACTGAATATAGATTTATGTTTATTGGTTCAAACCTAAACCAGGATTTTGAATGCAAATTTTCTAGGCAAGCAGATAGACTTTTGGCTTTGTATTGTAGAATGCTAAACTTACTTGACATTAAAACGTTTTTAAGAAGATCTTAAAGGTTTTGTAATTGCATCTTGTTGATATAGCAGCCTCCTGTTCATTTATTCTTTCCTTTCTTAAGATCAGAAGAGTACCATGTAGAGTAATTGCACTTCATATTACTCTAGGTAATGAGGGTTACTTGGAAATGCCCATCTCCTCTCTAAGTAACATATGACAAAATGTACTGTTTCATATGGTACCATAAGTAAGCAATAAACCTCACTTGATATTTTATCAAACATCAAAAAGGAACTGTCTTTATGTAACAAAAGAGCTCCAGTTGCCTTTCTGTTTATCCATAGCTGGTGAGGGAGATGTAGGTTCATGCCATTCCCAAGGGTATTAATGCAAAGCGTATGCAGATAGTCCTGGCTAGATTTTGAAATTGCTTTGCCAATACTATTCTCTTTTTTTGTTTTTTTAATAATAATGTTCAATCTGTACAAGGCCCAAGAGTCACTTGAGGCAAATGGTTAGAGAGTAAGAGGCACAGTTTTATGGGGATATGTGGGGAAGATGTTTCTTGGAAGAAATGTTTAATTTAGTCAAAAACAGTGGCACATTTTGATACTTCATAAACTCAAGGATGGCCAATTGGGTAAAAAAATTTCTACTGGGGGAAACTTGTAAAAAGCCCCAATCAAAAGGACCCAAAACATAGTCAAATGAAAAAAAATAAAAGTAAAGGTTTTAGGTAAATAAAATGTTACATTTAGTCAATATTGTTTTATTTATTTATGCTAATGCAAGCATTATATTTATTTATATTTTTATTTATATTATAGAAAATAATTTTATAATAAAAATGAATTTTTTTTTTTTGTTTACTTTTTTCTAAAGTGATAGACCATCACTTCCGGGCCCACTGGAAAGTTTCCCAGTATTCAGGTTGGCCACTATATTATTGAAGTCACTTCATTTGATTTGATTTAATTATCACTTTTCTGTCTTTAATATATTTTAAATTTTCCATAACTATGAAACAGACTATACAAGCTTCAAATTAACAATAACTTGCTGGCAATAAATTGTAATGCTAAGATTAGACATTATCTTATAAAGAAACATTCAGCATAAATTGACCAAACAGCCACTATTACTTATGGTTGAAATTTATAGAATCTTCCTCTTAAAACAGTTTTTTCTGGAAAATAGGTCTCTCAAGTTCTATATCTGTTATCACTCTTTCCAGTATTGGAGTTTCTTTTTCCTTAACCTTTTATTTGAAATGTCAACCTCTTGATTATATAATTATTTTCTCTTCATATGCCATCCATTTTAGTTGTTGCTGTTGTTGAAAGTCCTCAAGTGATAATGTACCATAAATTAAAGGGAAATATAATCATTTAAACTTCCATTTTTATTACTTGCCAATATCGTCTTTGCAATATTAATATTTAGAAACAATTTAAACTATCAGTGACTGCTTATATGTATTACATACTCAATTTTATTTTGCTCTGAATTGTCTTTTATGGGAAATTTAGTCATTATAATATTTTTAATATTCTTTCATTGCTTTTTAGCAATCTAAATAATTTTTTTGTCTATCCTTGTATTTAATTTTAAAAAAACTCTTGGTAACTCTATGACACAAATGTTAAAAACTATTGCAATGACTGTTTTCTTTTTAAAATATTACTGTTTCAATTTGTAACTCATCTAAACTTTTTAAGTATTAAGACAAGAGATTTATCTTGAAGAAATGGTATCTCCTTTAAAAGAAAATCTTATTTTTTAATAAAAAGTAAATCAAAATGTCTTAATTTTATCTCAAATGATGAAAATTAAAGAAAATTTTGACAATTGAGTTTAGGTTTTTACTAACATTTTTCTGTTGTTGATTTCTCTTAATTCTATATTTTCTTAATAGTTCAGAAAAATTTGAAAAACTGCAAGTACAATTTATTCACAGTTTCAATAATTTCCCTCTTCTTTATGACTTTAATTAAGTAACTGAATGGTTGTTGGATTTGATCATCATTGACAGAATCTTGAATCTAAATAGTTTTGCTACAGCAAAGACTTTGAATGAATTAAATTGGTGACCATTTCAAATAAGGTTCAACTTCTTTTAAAAAGAAGTTATCTGATAATAAGTTCTTTCCATAACCTCTTGCACTGAGAAAGAAGAGATCATTTACTTAATAGAATATTAAATTGTATAAAAAGACACTTACTCATCAGATATTGTCTGATCTCTTTAAACCTTTCACATCTGCACTGTGCACAGCCCAATAACCATAGCACCAAATTATTCTCCATCACTTTGGAACACTTATTCTCACGCTACCAAAAAGTGCAAATTCAGATTGGTTTTGGTTTGGTTATGAAAAAGACATTAAGTTTATTCCCACTAATCAAGAAATGTCATGCAAGCTTTTAAATCATTTTCCAGTGTTGTAAAAAAAATACAAAAGAAATACTTTAATGTTAGCTTTCTTTACAAATCACCAAAATATTTAAAAAGTTTCTGCACATTCAATTGTGATGAGCTGTGAATAAAATATCAAGACTTTGTAGAACAACAGAAAATAGAAGATCACTGCTAGTTCTTAGCAGCTCAGGTTAAAAAAGCAATAGGAATATTTCTCTATGTTATTGAAAATAGGAACCTGTTGATCACTGGACTAAAATTTTTTGTGGTGTTTGACTAAAACATTTGGCTGAATTTGCATATGGCCATAAGAATTCATATATTTTTGCTTTATAATGCAACAAGAAATAGTATAAAATCTTTGAAAAATGTCACCATACCTACAAAATGAAACTAACATTTAATTACAGAGTGTTAACTAACAAATCAGATAAACTAACAGAGGAAATTAAACATTAATCTAAAGTTAGCATTATTTTTTAAATTTACTGGCAGGATCAAAATTTTGAACATTTTATTTGAATATGATATTCCCTTATAAGGAAATATTCAGCATTCATTGACTGAGATTAGTTCTTGAATTCAGAAGTAAAATATCTGCACAATAAATCATCAGATTTACGATAAGCCCAAACCCAGACAGTTTTACCAGAAGATAGAAATCTGGTAATTGTTATTGCTCTTTCCAGCATTGACGGGGGTTTACTTTCTAACTTTTTGTTTGAAATTGTGTGGAATTTCAACATCTTGATTGTGTACTTATTTTCTCTCTGCATTACATGTGCTTGTTGTGGAGTATTTTCACAGTGGAGACTTGTATTTCTAATAAGTCGTACAAAACGTTAGGAACTTGGAAAAATAATAGTCAATGACGCAGCAAATCTAGTTGTGATGGTAGGTACTTCAAATGTCCGAATCTCGACTGACGCGCTCAACACCGTTCTGCCAGACTTGCCACTGCTACTCCTACTTATTATCTATGGGAGAGTCCATTACCAAAAAATAGGTACTATGGCACAACAGTGCTATTCGTTTTTTTTTTTGATATGGCTGTTGAAAGTCCTCAAGTGATGTGGTTTCTGTTATTTGGTACAGTTCTTTTTTTAGTGATTCCAATCCACTTGGTTTCAAGAAAGATGGTCTTTGCTAAAACCTCCAGTCTTCATTCTCTTGAAGCTACTTTTAATCATTGATCTGAGAAAGCAATTGTATACAGTTATGATCATTAATGAAGTCACAAAATCCTGAGTGGACCAAACCAGACCACCTATCTTTATTTTTATGAATATGAAATCAGTAAACAAAAAAGGTGCAGAATTTAGGGTCTATTTTTTCAGCTCTGACTGTGGAATTGTCACACATGACATACAGATTTCTGATTTGATTGAACAAATATAACGTAATTTTCCAAATACTTTAAGTGTGACTAATAGAATTCTTCATTTTAATGAAATGATTTCTTTATTTCAGCTGCATGCTTGGATACTTGGCTGTGAACCTCAAGGGACAGATTAGTCCCAGAAAATACCATGACAAATTTTGTGGTGAACTGCTACCTCCTGAGCTAACAAGTGAGAACCCTCGACTGGTGCTCATCCTTAATACTCATGGAGCTGTGCGGGGAAGGGGATTTCTGGCACGTTATGAATTCATCACTGGTGAGTAGAATCAAATTTTCTTTTATTGGGGTGTATTAAAAGTATTTTTTTTTTTTTATATAAACCTTTGCTTTTTGAAGCCTCTGTCATGTGCTGCATATATCTTTTTTCACTATATTTCAATATATGTTTTTTTAATTTTTAACTTGTTGGTTCCTTCTTTAACTTTTCTTTTTTAAACATAATAATTTTCACAAATTAGTCACATAACAAGATCTTAATACCACAGTAAGCTTTTAGCATACATTTAAATGGGCAAGTGGTTAAGAACTAGTATATACCTACTACAATAGACTGTGTTGATTGCAGCCTCAGAAAGGAAAATAAAAGAAGATATGTTCTGTCATGAAAAGAGACAGCCTAAAGTGCAAGTTATGCATTGAAGACCTTAGAATCTTTCAGGTGCAGAAATTTAACAATTTGGGTATTGTAGGAACAAATGAGAAAAATGTGTTGGGCTATTCAAGAAGCTTGGATGTATATTTTAAGGTTTTCAAATCATCCCATACCAATGTTCCTAATACAAAATTCCATTCAGTTCCTGCCTTCTTCCTAACACTTTTACATCATCCATAAATAAATATGACATGTATATATTTTACTGTTGTTCACCTTGTGCAAGTGCCAATCAAGGTCAGGGGTTACTTAATTGGATTTTCTAATTGTGTATGGGGAGGGAGCAAGTGTGGCATTTTATAAGGATATGTAGAGTAGATAACATTGATTCTTGACTTGAATAAGTTAAGAATGTAGATGTCCATTCCACATTGCAGGAGTTCTTGAAAAGAAGCCGTTATATATATATATATATATATATATATATATATATATATATATATGATACACCATAATATGAAAATATTACATTTTAATTCATATTTTTCAACTTTGAACCTTATATTAAATTCAGATGACCAGATTTAGAAATAGTTTAAGTATGGTTTAATTTACTCCATAAAAATTTGATTTATCTTCAATGTTTTTGGTAAAATACAAATAAACTAATTTTGTATATCATTATATGATGAAAATGAGTTCCTCACTGCCTTATGGTTTTGTAATGACCTCAATTAAACTTAGTAATTGATGTTATCTCGTCATGATGTCATGTCTACCCTGCTCAGCTTACAGTCTGTTAGTATTATTATAAGTCCAATCCTTACCGAGGGATCAACATATAAAAACAAAAGCGATTATTGAATTTTCTTTCAATTTATCTCAAAACATAATTCTGTCTATCTTTATATCTCCCTATTTCTCATTACATATATATATATATCAGAGAAATAATATGTATTGAGGCACCAATCTTTCAAATAAGATGAGAATTTGTTTCATTTTTCAGTCAATTTTTCTTGTTTACAAACAAGAGAAAGTGCTAAATCCACACACACACACACACACATTATATATATATATATATATATATATATATATATATATATATATATATATATATATATGAGAGAGAGAGAGAGAGAGATAGTGGCAGTTATGTATATATGTAGGTTTATGAAGAGTTTTGTATCTTTGCATATACACATTACCATTTGTTATCTACGTAAACATACAAAATCTTTCACAAATCTACATACATGTAGAATTATCCACGGTTTTAAAATATATGTAATACATGTCCAACCAATGAGAACTGACCCAAATATAATTGAAAATATCCATGTTTTCTTGGGGAGGGTGTCGATTTTCTCGCAATCCCTGATGAAGCTTTAATAAAAGTGAAACATGTTATCATCATAAAATGACCCTTAACAACAAAAAATATGCAAATGCCACAGCACTCTCTAAGTTTTATTGGGGTACCAAAACGGATAGCTACACACCTCCAGTGAATTGGGAATTGGTCACTAAAATCAATTCATTCCCTGGCAGGGGTACAAGTGCAATTTATGTTTACACAAAAAATTATTCATCCTAAAAAATATTAATAATCCAATCTACTAAATAAATGAAATGAGCTTATGTATAGTTGTATGCGCACAAAATTGTTTCTCTTAAAATATTGTAATCCTGGATAAACCACTTCCAGTCTAAATTTAATTTTCCGCCCACTTTTATTTTGGGCCATACACTGATTATCTCCCTTTAACCAGTCAAACGTCTTTTATGAACAGTGTCCAGAGAAATTTTAGAGCATACCTCAGTTTCCCTTTTTTCTCTTTTTTTTCTATTATTGACTCCTACATACACCTCATTTAGTTCACTTAAACCTCAGTATTGCTTTAGTACTATTTTTGTGCTATTTTAATTTTGAACTATGAATCAGCATCCATCCCATGACCATCTGTATATTTTTTTTAAAATAAACAATAAGCTGTATCTCATATCCAATGAGTTGGGTAACCAATGAAATTCAAGTTGCACACAAAATGTAGTTATATGTGTATTTATTAACATATATTTCTTAGCTCTGTCTAATCACATTGAGTACTATTATGTCTCCACCTCTTGGCTAAATTTGGTAATTATTTTTTTACCAGCGTAATGCATGCTAATATCTGTTTATCTCATATTAGTTAATCATTTATATATATATATATATATATGTATGTGTGTGTGTGTGTGCAAAAGGAAGAGATGTAGAAAATAGCTTTTATATCTCAATAAATGATTAGTGAATCTTATGTGTGTGTATGTGTATATATACATACATATAATGATTTGATATACATATATAAATATGTATGCATGTACATGTTTTTGTCATACTTATTCTGAAATTAGACATTTTGTTTTGTGTGTTTCCTTTTAATATACAATGCAGAGATGTAAATGTGTTGGGTCTATCTAATCTTTCAAGTTTCATGAAAAATATCAAGTTAAAAAAACAAAACATAATATGAAAAAGTCACTTGAGGGGAAGAGAGAGAGAGAGAAAAAAAAAAAAGGTACATATAAATAAATATGACATGAAAGTTATGTGCAAATCTTTTTTCTTTGGATTTTTTTTTCCTTCTAAGTAAATGGTTTCTAATTACAAGATGAGAGAGTAAGATTTGAATCGCAACAAAATCATCTTCCAGAATTTTTTTTTTTCAATTTCCAAGTCATTTTGGGGGATGATTTTATATTGTTTCTTTTTTTCTTTTCTAAAAAATTTTAATCGACTTCAAAAGCATCTTCTTCAGCAAATGTCTACATCTGAACACATTACATAATAATAAAAGGCAAAAGTTGTTCATGTTTGTTTATTGCAAAAAGTATTTTTCTCTTCTTTGCTGCATGTCAGGTAAATAAACAAAAAGTCTACCAATAAGAATAGTTAAATCAAAGTTACCTAAGAAAATACAGGAAAGTGCAAGATGTCCTCACAGGGCAAAAAAACACAAAAATCAGAACCAATGAAACATTTTTTTTTCTCTCTCTCTCTCTCTCTCTCTCTCTCTCTTTTTGCTAATTTTCTCCTCATTTCAACAAAATACACAAATTCTTTATTTACATTTCTTACATTTGTTTGCTTTCTGTTTAACTCTTTCGACATTCATCCCTTATTGAATATTTCACCAAGACACACATTTCAGTATTTATTATATCAAATATAATAACTAGGTATATATTATATCCCTTTGGTATCAAAGGGTTACTATCAAATTATTTCTTGTTCTTTGCTGTCGCTGTTTCAACTTAATTATGTAAGAAAATGGTAAAAGCAAACATTGAAAATATACATTGTCTTTTATTCCATTAACCTTTTTGACTAATACCTGTATTGCATTTAACACAGTGTTTCAGCTGGTATGTTCTTCAGCCTTCCTTAGGTAAAAGTTTCATCACACAACATTTGACTATTGCAATATTTGTTTCCACCAGATAGAATTTAAAAAATGTAAAATGTCTTCAAAGTCAAATGTCTTTTTTTTTCAGTGCTACATACAGATTTACATTGAATTTTGATATGTGTAATAAACATTTATTCAATATTATCAGCCATCATTATAATTCCAAGCATACCTTAATATATGAATGATTTTGTGTGTGTGAGTACTCTCCAACATGATACAAAAAGAGATCATATGCTTTTCTAAAGCTTACACAGTACTTTTTTTTTTAATCAGCTTTCATCTTATCACTAGTAACATGAAATTTTAACATTCAGTCCTGTGATTCTGTTAGACTGTTGGGTGCTCATAGAAGAAAGAAAAATGAAGAAAAAAGATAAAAATCTAAGTACCATATTTTCTAGCTTACAAAACACACTTTTTTTTTTTCCTGAAAAATATGTGTGCATTTTCCAAGATGAATGTGAGGCAATGCCCAGGCTTAAGTAAGCTTGGATGGTCACCTGATTGGCTTGACTGATCGGGGCAACATGATATGTTGAGTCATTACATTATAATGTTAGTTCTCTATCTAATTCAGCCTTATATATGATATTACCTCAGTACTTAGCTGTTACAAGTATTTCCAAGACTATAAATCTTCCTGTAGCCGAGCCACAAGCTTAAACATGCTCTGTTTACTAGCAGTGGCAGGAGCCTTTCTGCTCTTGACAAGTATGTCATTGCCATACAAACAAAATCGGACAAGTGATTAATTTAAACAATACATGGCGCCAATATGTGGGGGCCTCATGGTGAATGTTGTTGTGTGAGAATGACCTTTTTTTTGTCTTAGAAATTACAAAAGGCAAAAGTTCTTCAGGTTTGTTTATGCCAAAAAGAATTTCTACAAGGAAAGCTGACAAATATATCAGCTGGAATATGCTGTTAAAAACAACAAAGATGAAGATAATAGTGCGAAGCAAATTCTAATAAGTGGATGCAACATACATTTGAGAAAATTCATAAACTACATTTGATAAAACATTGTATTAAAAACATCAAAGATAAAGACAATAATTGAAAAAAAAAAAATCTATGGAATAATAACAGGAGAGTGATTCACCTTCTTGAGTTACTGTTTTACACTGACATGAAGTAGAATGATTATATTGAATCAGTTGTTAGATGTACTGCAAGGAAAGTTTGTTCACTATGTCCTGC